TGGCAGCTCCCAGCCACCGCAACCTCGACCTGCTGGGCTCTGGCGATCCTTCCGCCTCAGCCTTCCAAGTAGCTGGAACTACAGCCACACGCTACCATGCCTGGCTAATTTTTTGATTTATTGCACAGATGAGGTCTCGCCAAGTTGCCCAGGCGGGTCTCGAACCCGCGGGCTCAGGAACATTTTTTTCTTATGTTTTACCAGTCAGAAGACAGAATGGCTCACACACGATTGAATATATTTTTGCTACCTCAAAAAATACATTATTTTTGGAAACAAAAATCTATTGTGTACAACATTATGTCCATTAGGAAGGCTCTGATATATGGACATCTTAGAGCTTGTTTAATAAAAATTGTGGGGCAACCCCCTCAGGTCCCCTCCCACCGTGGGAGCTTTTTCTGCCCTCTTTCCAAATCCTGCTTTCCAAAAAAAAAAAAAAATTGTGGTTTTAGAGCACAGAATAAAAAGTCCTTTCATTTATTCAAAATTATTCAAAAATATAGAACGAATCGATTTTCTCTTAGATAAATACTTGTGCAATTATTGTTTCTAATGTGTATTTAAAATCACATAAATCATAAATATTCATTTGTTGCCTGCATCCAACTTTTTCAAATGAATAATCACTGAATACTTAAATAGTCAGCACTACTCTATGGGCTAGGAATGCAGTAGTGAATAGCAGGTAAATATGTAAACAAGGTGATCTGAGGTAATTGTGTTATCAAGATAATAAAATAAGTTAATATAAAAGAAATACGACTTAGTCAGGAAAGGATTACTTTAGGTCATGTGGACCTCTGAGGAGATGACCTTGATGCCAACACCTGGGAGAGGAAAGGGAATCAGCATGTGATGCCTTGAGGGCAGAGGGAACAGGGATAGGGAGGAGCACGCCAGGATACCACACAGAAAGGTCAGCGTGGCCAGAATGTGTAGGAGGGAACATGTGATGTGGAGACATAATTCTTATGCATGTGGGCAAATAACTTATATCCCCATTACTAGACATGACATTTTAAATGGGAAGTAGTCGTATCCTATTTAACCTCTTTCAAGTAAAATTAGAAAACAAAGAATGAGGGAAGTGAGTCAGCTTGCTAAATGAAGTGCACTCACCTCAGGAGTGCCAGCCCTGATCGTTATCAAGTTAATGCTTTCACTGTTGAGACCCAATGAAAATCTAGAAAAGGTATCTATTGGTGACATCTAAGTAGGGAACAGAAACAGAACATCTTGTAGAGCATACATAAAGCCATACCAAAAAATTGCCAACTTTTATGTATTAAAATTTGACGTGTAATGCTCTTCATAATTTAGTGATGAATTTGGCAATTTAGTCCTCTATAAAACCTGGCTAGAATTCTTTGGACCCTTTTATTTATTTTATTCAAGAAAATTGTTTAAATCAAGTAAATTTTTCCTTGCTCATTCTTTTAATGTGTGTTTGTATGTATTTATTTTTTGGTTAGAAGCAATAAGAAACAGTAAGTATAAAACTCTGGGTTTTAGACTAAGATATGCAGTTGACTGACTACCTCCTGCCTCTGAGTTTCAATTTCTTTAAAACATGAAGTTAGAATCTGTGATGTTCACCGAGAGGCCCACCCAGATACCACTTCAGTGGAGTACTTGAAACTTTGCTGCTGGGGGTGTGGTAGGCAGACAGCCTTTGCGTGCCAGCCCCTGCTCAAATCGCCTCAACTGCAGACACCCCCTCCCGGAAGGCCCTAAGTGGGGCTGCCTACATTTGGTGAACTGAGTGATTGGGAGAAAGGGGAGATCAACAGCCTGGCCATTTCAGTCCAATTAGGGACAACATGGAAGGGCCAGTCTAGTTCCAGAGCTGCTATGGCATCGTCTGAGGCTGTTCTAAGTCCTGTTTGGCAACTGCACTTCCCCTACCCACTCCTGCTTCCTCTGCTCTCCTCTCCCTTTCACAGGCGTTGATTCTAGAGGCGCCTCTTAATAAGCATCCTCCACGCTAAGCTCTGTCTCGGAGTCTGCTTTCTGGAAAATCTGAGCTGCAGCAGAATCATCATCTGGTAGATTCCAGTTTGGACCTCAGTTGCACAAGTTCTTCTCAGTATGGTCCTTAAATCTATCTTCTCATGATTTTCTGTTTTGCTCACTTCTCATCTTTTCTTCTTAAATTTCAACTCAGAATACAAACACACCATTTAGAAAAGCTTTTAAAGTAAAAGAATGGTGAAGGACAGTCTGAAAGGCATATGGAAGTCAAAAGAAAGATGCATTAACTTTTCTTTGCCTCAAGTATAGGGTGTTTATTTGTCAGCTCTGTCATAGGCAGCCTAGAATTAATGAGCTGGTTAAGGTATTTAGAAATCAAGTATGGTCAGAGCTATATAAATGAAGAAATGAAATGAGAAGGTTCAAAGTGGAAAATTAGGATTGACTCTGAATAAATGTCAAAAACACTTCAAAGGAAAACAGCACTTAACAAAATGTTATGACTTTGCATGTTATACGTTTCCATTTATAACATTTTAGTTACATATGTGTGAGACATTTAATCAGTCACTTAATAAATGTTATTCAAACACATTTGCTGTTTTCTTCACATCCTTGAAAGTTTACCTCTAGTTCTCTTCTGGTGGAGAGGCTGTTGCTGAGTAGCCTTGGAAATGTGTAGAGTAATATATAAATATGACAAGGTCAGGAGGGAGCTGCTGGGCTAAGGGTACCACTGGTCCTATAATGCACTGAACAATCCCACAGAAAGAAGAGTCATTCAGCCCCAAATACCAGTGGTGTTCTACTGAGAACAAATGGATTGTGTGTAAATGCTTCTTCTTCCAAGCTTCTCTTATTCCTTCCCACAACCATATATTGCCACCTACAGTGCACCTTCTCCATCCCTCATAATGGAAATAATCTCACCTCCCCACTAACATACTTTATAATTTTTACCTCTCTTTTGGCACCTACCTTTCTAATTTGTGTTATGGATACTTCTCTAGGTGTCCTAATTTTTAGTGAGCATATGAGCTCTTTGAAGACAAGAGTCTAATATAAATTGGAAAGAAAAAGGCCCGGTGCAGTGGCTCACGCCTATAATCCCAGCATTTTGGGAGGCTGAGGTGAAAGGATTGCCTGAGCCTGTGGGTTTGAGACCAGCCTGGGAAACTTGGCAAGACCTCATCTCTACAATCAAGAAAAATTACCTGGACATGGTGGCACATGCCTGTAGTTCCAGCTACTTGGAAGACTGAGGCAGGAGGATCGCCTGAGCCCAATAGGTTGAGGCTGCAGTAGCCATGAGAATGCCACTGCACTCAAACCTGGGCAACAGAGTGAGACTCTGACTCAAGAAAAAAAAAAAAAAAGGAAAGAAAAGGTATTCTAGTAGGCATGGTACTTCTTTCTTGATGTAACTATACCTGTATAAGTCAAGTTCTTTACGTTCACTGAAACAATTCATCTCGAAGGTGGATGTTAAGATTGTAAGATGTTCCTCTGGTGAACTACTTCAATTAGAAATACATGATTACTGGCCAGGCTCAGTGACTCAGCCTGTGATCGCAGCACTTTGGGAGACTGAGATGAATGGATTGCCTGAGCCTGCGGGTTCAAGACCAGCCTGGGCAACTTGATGAGACCTTGTCTCTACAATAAATCAAAGATTCATCAGGCGTGGTAGTGCATGCCTGTAGTTCCGGCTACTTGGAGGGCTGAGGTGGAAGGATCACCAGAGCCCAGCAGGTTGACACTGGGGTGGCCATGAATGTGCTACTACTGTACTCCAGCCTGGGCGACAGAGTGAAACTC